TTTACAATACAAATTCTTTCTTGTCAGCGAGTTTTTTATAGAAAGAAAATGGAACATTTTCTATCATTTTTTCAATAATTTTAACAGATTCAATAGGGGTTGCTACCACTTTTACTAAATTCGAAATTCGTATTGATAACTGATAAAGACGGCAGGTCTCCGAGTGTTTTGGTACTCGCTCGCTATGCTCGTTCGGCGCCGTCGCTTCGCTCCGCTAACTAAAAATATCCTAGGATTGTAGGCTACAGTCTAGGAGGAGGTTACAGGTTTAAATTAAGTTTAATTTAATTGAAAACTTAAAGAGACCTAATAAGAAGCGGGTCATTGGGAAAAAATGTACAATGGAAAATGGTCCTTGGTAAAAGTGGTGTCATCCCATTCAATAGAACTTAAAAGTATGATATGACACGAATGTTTTCTGCGTCGCATCTGTACTTATTTTGTTACGAGAAATATACGCGTAGTACCGAATACCGGAGCCGTTTGGGAATTTACCTACTCGTGAAACCTTTTACGACGGGAGCCGTTTGGAAAAAACAAACAATGGATGGGAGCCGTTTAGGTTGCACCGAAGAATTTTGTTAGCAATAAAAAATATTTTATTTAGATGTCATAAAAATAGCTTGCTAAGGAATTATTACCTACATGACACGATGTCAAGGATTAAGGCAGATTAAAATGCAATATTTCCGGTTACAAGTGACAACAAAAATATAATATGCAATACCTCTGATTGTGTTGAAATATTTTGGAACCTAAACACGTTCCAAGATTATGGAATTTTCATACGTATGTTCAAGTGAAAATTACATGCACACAAATCCCACAAAATACCTTAAAACTTTATGACATCTAGGCGAACGCTTATAATATTCCTCTAGAGTTGTTACGACTTAACTACAAGTGTTATGTCTTATCTCTTTGTTGGTTAACCTAACGATATTAAGTTTTTCGAGGGTGCATATTCTGACTATGTAATTTGAGTTGAAATTCTGATATCACTAAAAAAGTATCCTTGTCGCAGTCTCCTCCTGGATAATTCCAACACATCTGCTATGATCTTATTTTAAATCAATAAGTAGATGATCAATTTGTTTTATAGTACGTCCGTCTTGTGACTTCTAAGTGTATTTAAGAATATTCTTTTTGCTGTTAAATAACCATTCTTCAAAATGTTGCAAGTTATATTATTCTCTGGCCTTCGCCATTGCTCTGTTCGTTGGCACGTTAGTAGTCCTGTAATGGGAGTATACATAATTTCTTTCCCAATTTTTGAGTTCATGTTTCCTAATACGATATTTCAATTGTACTTGTACTTCTTGGTGCCCTATCGTAAATACTGGTCAGTTAATCATAAAACTAGTCTTTATCAACCTCATTTTAGTTTTCTGTTAGTGCTGAAACGTTAATTATTTATTGATTGAACCAGATCACCAGTGAACCGACACAAAAATAAAAATAACATAATTTATTGTATGGACCTAGTACTAGCCATTATTTTAATTTGACTTATAAATAGCAATAATTCTATATACGACAATAACGCACAACTGTTGAAACAACGATAGTGATATAGTGAAGTATCTATCAATATGCCACTCATCGGTCATCGTCTACAATCTTCCTGTTTAAACAAGTATTGGTAGTAACAATAATAATCTATTCACCTATTATATGACCGTTCTCTTAGTAAAGTAAATGAATTGGGAATCACGGTATCAACAAAATGCATAGTTAACCAGGCACATACAATTTCTCAAAAAAAATGACTACCTCAACACATATACTAATGAGTTATAACCAAAACAAATTTCCTTTTACACTTCAATTAGACTAGTTCATTCAAAGTTATGATTGTGTATTGCATGTTTACAACTATTTAAAAAATTATAATATTAAAGTAAAACAATAAGTAATTTTTTTCTTTGACTTTAAATATAAAGTAAGGAAACCCCAATGAATGTGTTAAAAATGTCGGCGTGTACGGTTTGTTTTTAAATAAAGTCATTTAATATTTGAAATATTTTTGTTTCACTTACTTTTTTTGAATAGCGTACGGTTTACTTTGTAACATAATTATGCATTAAAAAGTTGATAGTTCTATAAAACAATGAAATGCGTAGAAAATTGATTTTGGTTATAATTTAGTATAATGTTTGCATGTTATTTCTTAGGGTTTACCTGTGCATAGTACAGTAGTGGGGATTATAGGGAAATTTTCATTTTTATTTCTAGTTAAGCAATGTGAAATTTAAACTACAAAACGATTTTATGATTTTCCTAGTTTCACCGACCGATTGATAACCGAGTAAATCCCAACAAACCTATCTTAATGTATCATAATTTATTTATCACAAATTGATTTGTCAATACTGTTATTCGTTGAACATAATTATTTATCATTATTATTTTATACTTCCGTGCACTTAAAACATATATTTTTCATTTGTCGTTTATAAAATGTATTTCAATTACTCGAAGTTATCCAAGACGTTCTTTTAACTCTAAATAGTAAGTACAAAATATAAACGATCTAATAACATTTTATAATATTGGACTTCAGAACAATTACTGAAGAGCACATGGATATCTTTTGAGACAAAGCGGATAACAAATCAACTAAAATAATATAGTGTCCGTGAACTTCCTAGAGGTCGTTAACCACTATTGCAGTCGGATAGGTTTATGGTGGTTTTTCGACTGGCCAGACGTCATGGGGAAAATAACAATAATCAGAGGTTAAGGGGACGCGCACATTTAATCGGTCTCGTCACATGATTAAGCAGTATAATACTGTATTTTTTTTTTGTATTGCAAAGTTTAAAATGTGTCGACGTATAGCGTGTTCTTACAAGTTAGATAAAAAAATATTTTACTTTCTTTATTTTTAAAAATTCAAGTAATCGTGGTAATTTAAATTAAAAACAAGTTTGACTGCAGATTTTTGAGTACAGGGAAATTTGTATCGAGCGTTCTGCGTTTGGCTTTGGAAATTGCATATAAAACTAAAAGGACTAATGTATTTTAAGGTTAATATTTTTAAAAGCAAACTTAATACATCAATAACGTCGTGTCAAGTAAATGACTATCTACCAAAATTGTTAGAATTTAAGTGGCAAGCAATTTTGGAAATGAATGGCATAAAATATAGAAATTATATCTTAAAGTGGAATATATTGAATATCGAAGACAGTTCTTTATAGTTGGATTCATTGGGAATGTTTTTGACAGCTATCTTTAAACCAATATATGGTCTAGATTTTGATTGAGGGAATACACCTGAAGCATTTACAAAGGTAATAGAAAATATCAAGCATCAATACCGTAAAAGTTAATAAACGAAACAACCTTCAAATAAATAAAATGTCAAGAAACATTTTGGGACGTAATGAGGGTACAAATGTATATATAATATAATTATAATTTTATATAAATGGAAAAAAATACTACTGACTTTGTTTTACCAAATAAATTATATAAATTGACGTATACTTATAAAAGTCGTGTTAACTATTTATGAGTTGTGTGACATTAAGATGATATCTTATAAATTATAACTCAAAATAAATACATTTAATAAAATATTGATCGTCTTTATTAATAATGGAAAAAAAACTACTGACTTCTTTTTACCAAATGAATGATATAAATTGACGTATGCTTATAAAAAGTCGTGTTAACTATTTATGAGCTGTGTGTCATAAAGATAATATCTTACAAATTATAAATCAAAATAAATAAATTTAATAAAATACTGATCGTTATTATTATGAATTATAATAATACGGTTCACAAATCACAGATATGGTATTTAAAAATATCATAAATCATAAGGTATGTAATCGCAAAGATATTATTAAAGTAATATGTTTTTTAATATGGTCATATAATAAAAAAAACATTACAGTGGGGTCGGGGCATGGTGGGGACGAGGAGGTCGCAGGTCTACAGTCTACAATTTTAAACAAACGCTTCGAATCTGTGGATAGTATGTTTAAACCGGTATAGTCCAAACCAAGCACAGTAAGAAAGTATTGGACGTAAGTGAGTAGTAGTAGTAATAGTAAGTGTATAAGTAAGGAAAATTCAGTGTTAACAGATAACAATATAAATATCGATAAAATCATTGCACCTAATGACAATTATGTGCTTAAAAATTATTTTTTAGTATTAGTGTAGATACGATTAGGGTTGATAGCTGTCTCTAAAAACGTACTGCCATAGTTACCCATGTATTGTAATTAACAACATGATGAAAATGTTTTTCATTAACTGTTGAGAATAGTCTATACAAAATTAGAACGAATTATAAGTTGAAAAATATGTTTATTTGTCTTTTGTTATTCTCCATTTTGAAGGGGAAGGGACGACATTTTTTAATTTTTGGTCACGCAGATCTCTAAAGCCGATGAACGAATTTTGTTATTTAGGGTTTTATTAAAATCGCCTTGGCATGTAGAAAAGTGCAGTGAAGAGTTTTAGAATTTTATCTGATATAGTTCATTCATAAAAAAACCTTTAAAATTGTCTAATATTATAAAAACACATTTTTTCTCCTATACTTTTCGAATTAATTGCTTAATAACATTAGATAAATTTAAAATAGTATTCCAAAAATTAAAAATCAAGAAAGTCTACATATCGGCCCCGACTTGACGAGCGTTTTCTTTTTACAGAAATGTATTGTCGTCTATGAGAACACAGCAAAACCGTAATCACATCTCATATAATATATTACCCTAAATTGATAAAATTATACACAATATATTACAGAACGCTTTCACTATTGTTTTTGACAACGAATTCGAGCAAACTTTAGGACAAATTCCAGGCAAACGGTTGTGGGTCCGACTACAACGTAGGTTCGACCACAACCTATATACTTTGATCGGGTTCCGAGTGAGGCTGAAAATAATAAAGGAGACCACTCGGTTCCCTCTCCGCGTAAACGCTGTATGCACGTGTTCGCCGCCACCTTTTCAAGTCAGTCGGCAGTTTGCTTCGCACGCGGACATCGGCCGGTTCGTCACCAGCCTACACCACACACACTACCGTGTCGGTCGCCCGTCTTAAGACGTCATGCCGGATCAGTGTTGAGCTACTCACCGTACACAAACCGTCGTTTGTCAAATCTGCCGTTTACCACGGACATCGTTCGACACGTGTGACTGTATAAACGACTTGCCTACCGTAAGAAATACCGACGAAAATTCATTGAATCCGTCACAGCCACGTCGTCGTCGCCGTGAGTACACAAACAAAGTAATATTTTATTCCCTTTAAGAACACGTTGTACCCCCTATTTGTTAAAGCGTTAAGTATGCGCATTTTTTTGCAAAACCATAATATAAAGCTTAAGCTGTAATAGTGTGTGATTATTAGTTCAGTACTTAGGACTCTTGTTTTGGTAGTTTATTTGTTTTTCGGATTACCCTAGCATCCTTGACAGCGGTTTCATCTAAACACGTTTACACGCATCAGACAAAAGTACTTTTGTAGGGATTTTAGAGATAAAACACCTATAACAAAAAAGTTAGAGGACAAGATTTCCAAAAAACCCTAATTTTCGTCAATAATAATTTGATGAATGCAAAAATAGATTTTTTTAACGTTTTTAATCTTTGTACTTTTTATTTAATATGAATAAATCTTGTTCTCTGTCTTTTTTTATCATATGTGTTTTTATCTCTAAAATCGTTTTGAAAGGTACTATTGGCTATTTTGTGTTAACGTATTATTTAGGATATTGTTCTTACCTTTAAAAATCATCGACGAGATATCCTCTTTAAACAGAGTGGCACGTGTGTTTGCGAATCTACCTCAGGGGTAAAATAAAATGAATTTAAATTATTTACTTTTAAAATTAATTATGACCGGATATACACAAGCTCGCTTAGCACCGTCAGACGTTTTCAAAATAAAAATATTTTATTAAAGGCATTCTACGTAACCCGACCTAATCCGTGAGTTGCTCTAGAATGATAAACGAAATTTCTGAGGAAAATCGTGATTTTCCGGGTTTTTTGGACATAGCTCAAACATTATGCCTGACCGGCTCAATCTACTATTTGCGCTATTATTTTTAGTTTATAAAATTTGCATTTTGGGAGCAAAACTTGAACAAATCAATTAGCGACTAAGTTATATTTATAGTCACGCCTTCATAAAAATAATAATTCATAATAAATACATAAGGTAAAAAGAAGAAACTTTAATAAAAAAAAAAAAATGGCTTCTAAGCTTCGAATTGAAGCTAACAACTATGTATAGTTTGTCAGAAAAAATATTACTCGATAATTATCCAAATCCGCGATTAAAGTGCTACCCATAAAGTTATTGTCTCAAATAGAATATATTTTTGAAAGCCTTATTTCGACAGGTTTTAACAAAAAAATTAGGTTCTTGAACCTCTAGTTTGTGTTTTAGACAGCCTAAATAATAGAGGTAAAAAAATGTGTATTTATTTATGATAAGTAGGGTTGCCGACGTACATAAATTGTGACCTTTGCAATACATATTTTATACCTTCTATCTACTAAATAATATACAGCCAATACCTTATATCATACTTTCCCCAAAAGCGTCGGGTCGTCTACCTTAATGATCTCCAAACTTTAAGTCGGTACCGTCTCTTTTTTTATTGCACAGTATTTCATACTCCTTAAAACCTTTAAGCATATTGTGAATACCTTAACAGCCAAATGATTTCAAAGCTAACCATGGCTCACGTTTCAACACTCATCCACAATAAACTTTTATAGTATTTTTTTAACACTATAATATTATACGTCTCATAAAAAATTCCATTATTAAACCAGAAAAGGTAACTTGTTTATCTAGACGGAGGCTAACTCCAATACCAGTTTACACATTTAAAAATTGTAAACATCATAAAATATTGTCTACTACTAATTTTATAGAAAAAAAATGTTATTGTCCAAGACAAGTTATTAATATTAATATTAATTACACAATTATAGTTAGATATAATTATTGCTATATTCTCCTCCATATGCTAATACGGTTACTACAATTCATTAGGTAATAAATAATATAATAATAATAATACATATTTAGTATTTTACATAATCTTAACAATATGTTACTTGATTTTAGCATATAATCTGCTAAAAGAAATCAATATTATGATAATAACTCATTTTTTTTTTATTAGTTTATCTTCGTACTTAATAAATATTGTTTACCGGTTAGTGTGTTAGGTCATGATTAATAAATCATACAAACTATTAATTCCATATAATTATAATTCGTAGTGTTGTTACGATATAGTAATTATTTTCGTTGACTATTGGATAAAGTGGGAATAACCTTTTTTTGGTAAAACTATCTTTTATGTTTATTAAATTTGCAGTAAAATTGTACACAATTTATTATGTTACGCATAAATTATAAAAATGAATATTAAAAAAAAACTGTGAATAAATATTATGTTATTTTTTTTTTACAATTGTATCGCCTTCGCGTGAAGTAAATCTATCTGTGTAGCTTTCTTCATTAAACTAGATACAAAATGTTAAGATACAATTAAAAAATTGTCAGCACAGCTTGTTAAGTTAGCTAACTCCATCGATACCTCATAAATGTGTAGTAGAAACAATTGTTGAACTGATCTTAAAACATGTGCAAAAAATCCAAGGCAAGTACAGTGAAATCGAGGTGGCAACTTGATCATCAGTCATTGATTCCTAAAAAGTATTACATTTTAACCTTTAAGTTGCCAAGGGCTAGTTTTTGAATATCAAAAATAATTAAAATAATAGTACTTTTAGAGTGGTCATGGAATGTCATAAATAAAATGTATCTTTAGAAATACAATACCAAGTTAAGGGTTAAAGTGTTCCTTTCAAGAGAATGCTCCGATACGAACCTATATATGGTGAAAATAAGTACGACGGATACATAACATTAAAGAGGCGAAATTAACTTGATGATTTCACTATGGTGCTTCGTCGCTGTTTACATGGCTTTTTTTCGACTGATCACATCAACTAAAATTTTTTTATCTCATAAAAAAAAATTTTATCATTTAAATAAAATATTCTGTTAAAAAAATATGTATGTTAAAATATCCAAAAAAATTAAACGCTAGCATATTACATATGACTTAAATGAAAACAAAAACAACGCACTAATCTTAAACAATTTTTTCAATTTAAATTGCATGTACCTATAAGTGATATTATCCAAAACCATTTTATAACTTATTATAATTTCTAACAATTAATATTTATTTACGTAGTACCATATTTTAAGTATACAATTAGTTATTTTATATACAAAAGTGTGTATTAACGTGTAATAACGTATTAAAAGTGTGTATTTAAAGTGTAATATTAACTAATAGTTCACTATTAGTTAATATTAATAATCCTAATGAGAATAACACGTAGATCTATTTTGAACGTTCTTTTTAATTGGTATAAATTGAAAGTAATTAAAACGTACAAACAGTATATAATGTATAAACGTAATATTTATAATTAAAAATCAATATATGTACATATAAACTTTATTTAAACAAGCACAAAGTATCAATACTTATTGAAGTAAAAATGAAGAGTGAAAGTGTCAAACGTTCCAAGTGCCAAAGTATAAAAATTGTACTTTATAATTTGATTTGTATTTTATTTATTACCGGAAACAATTTTGTAAATTTTTAGTAAAAAATAGTTAATTATAAAAAAGACAATCATACTTTAAACTCAAAAAAATGTTAAAGTGTTTCCGGTAATGAATAAAATACAAATCAAATTATAAAGTTCAATTTTTATACTTTGGCACTTGAAACGTTTGACACTTTCACTCTTCAAATATTGTTTTAATATTAGTTGTATTAAAATGGCGTCAATAATACATTTTGGATATTTATTGTAACTAATAAGTTATTAATAGGAGTATCAGAGTGAAAACAAAAGAACAATATGTATAATAAAAAAACAATAATTTCTTATTTGTGTCTAGGCAATTATTCTAATAGCAATATTAGTTAAACAGAGTGCAGTAGGTGTACAGTTACAATTCAACAGCTTAAGCATAAGTTGTTGTGAATCCAATATAACACGATTCAAATTACAGCGAGTAGCATTTACGATGAGAAGTTACTTTAAATTGGCGCAGGTAAAACTTAAGAGAGAATTATGTTGTACACAGTGAATAGATGGCACCAAAAAAAAACTGGAGCAGTTAAACCCATTCTGTTAGCTGTTTTCTTGTTTTGTTCTGTTATGTTTTATATAATATGCAACTATAAATTGCTTATCTGGAAAAAACACATTTTAAAAATCGACTATTCACTTCTAAGCGTCACTTAAAAATTGTTCAACTATTTTATTGAATACGAAAGAAAAACTGATAAATTAATGGTGTTTTTTTTTTTTGACACAAGTCAATTTCTTTTCAGTGAAAAAGTAACATTAGTACACCTCTGTAGAAGTAGGTAAATTGATGATTTTTGTCATGTGTCGTTTTTCTTCCGAATGAGCGACATCTGCTTGTCTGATTACACAATATTTGTGCATGGTCTCAGTGAAATATGTTTTAGTAACATACTTACATCCTATAATGACTAATGTATTATAAAAGACAAACACTTAAATATATATAATACATTCGACCAATACGAGTCTTTCAAAATATAACATTACGAGGGTTAACTGGTGCGCCTTGGTATGTAACAAATAATAGCCTACACAAAGATTTAAACATCAAAACTGTCAAAGAACTGGCTATTTTACACTATTCCAGATTTCACTCAAAACTCACAATAAACACAAACTCTTTAATTAAACGAATGTACCCAACTTCAATACCTGACAACCCACCACGTCGACTTAAACCCAACTGGAACCGTGACCTTTTGACATAACAAAATAACGACAACGATAAAATCATCACTAAAATACAACTATAATAAGACTAATAAGGTGTTAACACTGGGTGACTTCCGTAAACGTTACTAAAGATATGTAATATAAAATGTCAAAAAAAAAACTTATTGTAAATTTATTATGTACAGATTGTTGTTTCTAAAAAAAATATACATGTATATTTTTAAAACTACAACTTTATTGAAGCCATCTATGTGATGCCAATAGACACAACATAATAGATGTTAATTTCTTTTTTTTTATACAAACCAGTAATAATAAAGTTTATAAGTTTAGTGGTGTTAGTTTTATGTTAAGATGTTTTTAGACGTTTAATTTAAAGTTAGTTATCATACTACCGAATTATGTTATAAT